ATAGTTGAGACCATGGGCGCCACCACTGACCGTTTTCCTGACTAAATAATATCATATTCACACAACCAGTTTTGGACATCGTCTTGGTTGCGAATAGGTTAAATTAGGTCGGAAGCTGCCTAGGGGGGAAGGCAATATTTTCATTTTACTAGTAACTCTTGTTAAATGCACGTCTCGGGCTTCGGATGGCCTTGTCCTAGGAGCTTAGTCCTCGTGTTCGGCTCTTGTATTCCCTGAATAGTCAGAGTGTAGAAGTGCATTCGCATGCCCACTACCATCTCTCCAGTAGAGGCTGATGGTGAGCAACTAAAGATGGCAGTGCTCACGTCAGTTATCAAATGTACACGTGATAAGTTGGCTTTTATATAGACGGCTAAATCAGCCTGAAATGATGTCACTACCCCAGAACTTTCTCAATTAGGAATTAGCTACTTAGCAACCATGAAAGTACATCGGGAGATTATCTGCGTAAGCGTCAGATTGCGTCAGTTCACTTGCGTTCGTAGCGAAATCTTGGGGCAAAGGCGATTCCGCGAAGGTTCCGCTACATGCTGTCAGCCTGCTCGCTGCTTGTTAGAAGTTCTGCGTGGAAAAGAATGAAGTGAGATTTTGAACAGGACTGTTCCCTATGCAGTAAATCGAGGCGCAGTTAGTGTTATGGCAAGTGACACGCTCGCCACTCGCGCAGTCCCGGCGTCAAGTCCCGGATCAGCTCCCGCCCATGCAAAGCAAACCTCTTACCCTCCGAGTCGGTACATTGGGAATTGATTTGTGTGGGAAGATAGGAACTTTGGTCCAAACATCGGCTAGCCCGCAATTCATCGTATAGGCCATATCGCGTTCAGTAAGCCGCTATTATTTTGAACGTACGAGAACGGGCGTAGAGTGCGTGTCGCATCCGAAAAAGGGATTGATCACCGGTGAAGATTTCATCCTCATCCTGCCCAGCACAGTAGGAAATTGTGTGGAAATCTTGCTGACACGGATAAGCTCCTCAGATTCTATGAAGGCGTCGGCTTCTGACAGTGCCTAATCCGGATGCAACAGCTTATTGAGATGAGGGAATTAGAGGGTTGACGCACCCCACACTTCCATATGCAGACGAGCACACTTACAGAGCCAGAGCCAGTATCAAGAAGCCTGCGGTAATGGGAACGATTGTTATGTTGGAGCAGTGTCATTTCCAGTTATGGCTTCCGAATCGTGGCGAGCATGAAGTCTTGAAGGTTCCTTTCTACCTACCTCTCTTTTCTAACTGAGCGGCATGTATGCTGAGTCCGCTGGATCGGCCGTCTTTAGCTCACCGTTTTTGGGAGATCCTGTGTGACAAAGATCACATTCTATCTTTGTATAAATAGGCCATGAAAGGCCTCAGATGGGATTCGCTGCCCTATATCTGTAGGCGTAGTGTAGTAGTAGGTTAAAAACACAGCGCGCGGTCTTGGGGTCACATTTTGATTCGGTTTCCTCCCAAGCGCCCAGCGGACCGGCAGCTTGGTACAGCTCTGCTCGTGAGCATAAAAATACTGACGTGTGCACAGCTGGCCCTTGCAGTTAGACGGGGCGTTTCGCCTTCAGTACTACAATTCTGATTGAAGACGAGTGCGCGGCTCATCCCAAGGAGGAACTGATCAACGGCAGAGACTTGCTTGCTATCTCACATAACTGTACAGTCTGTGAATGCAAGTATATTTAGGACTGTGGGAAGCTAAATAGACACGGTGTAAGCTGCTTTATGAAAAGCCCAATCTAAGCTCTTGTTGTGTTCTGCATTCCTAGAAATGGCTGAACGCCATTTATGGTTTTACTGACGTAGGAAAGAGATTTGTAAAATTCTGATAGCCGTTGTTTTTATCTGAAGAAGTTGTGTACATGTTTGGGGTAGGCGGTTGTCTGCAAAGCTACTTTTTCGCCACCTCCACGCGCGATAGCTATCCATAAATCGACTGGGCTGGGTAGGTACATGAAGGAGACGATATCGAAATAACAGGAAAAGGGAGAAGGCGGTTGATCGGTGAATCCCTTCAGTGAACATCTATATTCACTAAACTCTTCGGATCACTCTTTTGCAAGAACTGTGCCACTCAGTTTGAGGCATGTGGGAGTGTACGAAGGAACTTAAAGACAATTCCCGCGATAAAGTGTTCGGGTAATTGGTGCCCAGTAACGAAGCAGTGGCCCATTTGTAACCCCCAGTGGGAAAAAAAACCTCGCGAACACCCTGAACACAGACCTCCCTTTAGCAGTGGGGGCGGGGCCTGGACGAGTGTGCCGGACGTGGCTGCCAGAAATCGATGCGGCAGCCGCAATTGCGTCCCGACTTTCGAAATAGGATACTTTAAAGGGACGGAAGCAGCTCGGGACCGGACGCCTCGTCCACCTACCGTGTCAGCGAGCCTAGCGAGCCTTGTGGAAATCGCTATAACTTCCTTATCGCGCCATATTGAGGGATGAAAGTGGTATCATCTTCGTCAAGGCGTAGAGGGTTCCAAAAAGCGCGAAGTCATTTTGAGGACCACTCGATCGCGGGGAGTGTCTTTAAACGGTCATAATTACAGCATGCGACGACTATTGGACTATGCTGCTGAGCGACTTCATAAAGATCTGCTGATGCTCATTGAAGAACGTGATCGGGCGATTCACGCCCTTGAGCTTACTCCTGAGCAGGATGATGACACTGTCTTCTCAACACAGACCTGCATTTATCAGAGGGTGAGTTTCTAAACTTGAGATTCGATAACTAATCGCAGCAATCCAACAGTTAGGTCCCTTTCAATATTTCAAACCGTCCAGCAATTACTGTTTTCTGAGGCCTACCATTTCGCGTGATTAGGGAGCATTCTCAACAGGATTGAAGGTAATTCCTTCAAAAAGTGGTTGGAGGGGGAGGGGGGGGGTGAGGAATTCAAAAATGAAATGATTCGAGCTTTTGTGATCTAGTCATAATCGAGATATTAGACTTAGGTACGTTCCACACTAATCGTATGGCAAGAATGTGGGCGGAGAAAGCCAATTATTCTTTCTGTCATTACTTTCACTTATGGCTTCCAGTTAAAGCATGTCTTGTTACAGAGATATCGAGATAAGCTATTGGAGAACAAGCTTGCCCTCGACAAACGTATCGACCAGGTGAGAATTTTCATCTAATTTCAGTTTTTCATTTTTCTTTCTCATTCTCGTTTGCCTCCCAATCTAGTCACTTCCTAAAGACGGTCCTCATGCTCTACATTTAGGCCCAGTCAGTCATTTGAGTCTCATGCTGTCGTTGCTTCGTGTATACCCTATGCTGTCCTTACCGTCTGAACTTGACCTATACAGAAGTTGGTGAAGCGATCCTGAGAAGTAACTATGGCATGTAGTAGCCCCAATCCGGTCTATATGTCGTGCATTTATGATGACAAATGGCTAACAAAACTGCTGAAAGCAAGTGTCCAAAGGCTTGGTCTACTCCACGTGGCGTGGGCGGAAAAACGCCAACCACTGTAGCTTCCCAATGGGCGGTCATCCTCACGGTAATGGGAAGAGAGACGCACCTGAGAGGACTGCACGGTTTCTTCTATCTCCGCCCAGAAGGTTAGCGTGAACTAGTTCAATAAGTAAATTAGGGAACGCACTCTCTTGGGAAAGGTTTTCTGCAAAATGAACACCCCCTTCAGCATTTCCTCGTCTGGTACAGCCTTTCTCCTGCCCCTTCCATATACTATTTATCAACGCTTTTGCGGAAAGTTTCCCCACCTCTCATCAAGCGAGGGTGCGGTGGGTATATATAGCGCAGCTGAAAAGGAAAAGCAACGAAAAGTCACCATTCGAAAACGTTTTCCACAAAAGCAAGTACGACCCCTCCTCCCATCGGTTTCCTCTAGCGACCATATGCGACCTCCTATTTGGGATAACCTTTCACTTTCAGCGCTGATCCTTGAGCAAAGTCACTTGGACCGTTGCATTTTCCTCACAGTTCCCCCCACTACTGTTCGCCATCTTAGAACGAGGGGAAAGGAGCGCATTTGCTGAAGTAACTCCACCCAAACAAGTTGTGCGAAGCGGGTCTTTGAGGAAATTCCAATACTTCACTAGGTTGAGTGTATAGCGCATCCTAAGAGAATGACCACTAGGTTTTGTTCTTTCTTTTGTACTTTTTTTTGTTCTCTGACGCAATAAGTTGTCATAGTACATTTTAAAAGTGAAATTTCCAGGTGTGGTTGAAGCTGAAAGATATGGCCGTCGAAGGCCCCATAGCACAATTCGTCTACAGCGTGCGACATAGCTCCGAGTTGACATTGAATGTGAAAAGACGACTGAGTCTACGAAGAGAATCATTACCGGTTAGAATTTCTACAATATTTTCCAAAGCGTGACCACGTGAACAAAGATAAGTCCCAATAAATATGCAATACAGCGCTGTTCACCGTTTCGCTTCTGATCCGGAAAAGTTTGTAACTTTCTCTTCGGGTAGCCGGCGCACCGGATCCTGAAGGTTCACAGACTTCTTTTGATTCTATCTCTCGGGCTCTGATGCACAATCGCCCTCCTGTACGCTTCATATCACTTCCTTGGAAGGGGAGTGTCTACGGACCTGAATGTGAGAGTGGCGGCGGTGGAGACTCGTCTTTAGGCCGATATGGAGATGACATGTGAATAAAAAAGCAGGTGGAACGAGAAAAGAGTTGTGCTAGGGTCACCTTAATCACCCTGAACTAACTGATGTCACAAACGCGTTCTTGGATACTCATTCTCGTTCTTGGATATACTTTCCAAGTAGAAGATGTGGACCGTGAATGGGTGGAATGCGTTGCGGCAAAGCTTGCCGGGAGCCAAAATACTGCACCGCATCGCTGTTTAGGCGAGTGTGTCAAGAACGTTGAAGGTTCTATCACCACTAAACGAATTTTCACGTACAACTAGACTGTGA